TGTGGACATAGACACTCAACACACAGAGACACACATTTGCAATCTGAATTGGGGTGTTTTAGTCTGAGAGTTGACACCGGTCACTATGTGAGGATCTGAAGCACCTGGCACCTCTATAGATGAGGAAACAAACTCCATAGCAAAAAAGTTATGTTCAGTACTCAATGTTTTCACTTAGGCTTTGGAAATCAGTGGCTGTTTTGTGCCTTTTGCAAATATCTCTTCTCCCTGCCACATTTTTAATTGTAAAAAAAAAAAAAAAAAAAAAAAAAAAAAAAAAAAAAGACAAGAAAAGCAATGACTAGAGCTAGTGACAAAGGCTTTCTGGCACTGCTTATCATTCAAAGCAGTAAAATGCTTCCCCTACTAATTTCAAACATGTCATTAGCAACATCTGAATCAGCAGCTTTGAGAAACTTTGCAGATATTTGATCTGAAAAGCCTTTACATATGCCTCTACCCTTGTATACTGCTAATCCCACCCTTCAGCATAGCCTGCCAACCCCTCAAAACACCACTGGATCTATTTCAGCTTCACGACCTAAATGTTGCAGCCTTGTTACTGTCTCACAAAGAGGGAAAGAAAAAAGGAGAAAGGAGAAAGTTGGATACAGGGCACAGTGCAGTGATATTCAGAATGGAGTTTACCACCAGCCATCTAGAAAAAAGCATGCCTTGGTCACCCACATCCCTCCCTGTGACACTGGAAAGAAACAGGACACATGACCACCAAAGCCCTGAAGGTTTCATCCGGATGTTGAAACATAGGTTATATTTACGCCCCTTGTTAAATGAGATGTCCTGGGGTAAATGAGACAACTGCATGGGAATTGCAGATACAACACGGGACCTGCAGCAAACCCATTCCCTCCTGTAAAACCAGCTCGAAGCCAGACAGGAGACTTGCGTGTCTAAAATGACATGAGACACATGAAAGGACAACTGAATGGAGTCCTAAGAATCATAAGACCCTTTACCTGAGACTCAAATTGATGGCACTTGCTATATAAATTTAAACACTTTTATTTGAGCTCGTCACCCTGGGCTTCTCTTGTGAGAGCTCAGTCAGTGCAGCTGATGGCTGAGGACACCATTCTGTGATTAAAACGGATGAAGTGCAGCCTAAAGCACCTTTTTCTTACTTCTGCTGGGGCCTCAGGTGGCCAGCTCTGATGGAACTATCCACACCATAGACATTTATTCTAGAGAACCACATCCACTAAGCCAAATACTATGTACCCATACTTCGAGGGAGCAGAGATACTCTTCTCACAGCCTGTCCTACAGCTGGCTGTAATGCAAGAGTAAAAGCACAGCCACTGCTCCACAATGGATGGGGCCTTGAAACCCCACGCCTGGTGCTCTGATGTAGCTCTGAGCAGCTTAAAGCAGTTTTCCTCTGGATTCAGATCAATGCAAATTATTTCCCCATTGGTGGAAGCGGACAAATAAGGAGTTAGGTTAAGCCCTGAGCACAGGATGAAAATGTAACAGCCAACTGCTCTGAGGGTCACACACAACTGGAAGACATCCAAACCACAGGGAGTGGGGAATGCAAGGACCCTTGTGGGAGGGGGGCACATCCAGCCTGTCGATGACCATGGTGGCTAGGTTTTGTTTATTTTGGTTTTATTTTTCTGTGCACTTTCTGAGTTCACGCAGAAGCCATCTCCAACTCTGTTTTGGTTTCCTGTCCTCTTAAAGCCACCAGGCTGCCGTGAAGTTTCTACCCTGAGGTCAGGCTGGTGGAAAGCTGAGATGCAAAGGGGAGAAGAGAGGAAGTCTCCCACCAAATCAAGAGGGAGGGAGAAAGGGAGATCTTGTTACAGGTTCAGCACGCAATACATCTGAAATAGTACTTACGTTTTTTGTGGTTTGGTCTATTGTCAACCTCTGAGTTATGGCTGGAGTGAGGTCGGGAAGGCAGGATCAGGTGGGCTAACTATCTGCAGACAGATCATTTCACCTGGCTATACAAGACTGATGGTTGCAGCTTGGTGGAGCTTTGCAGTGTGTGACCAGAGAAGACGAGGGAAAGAAGGGCCCTGAGGCTGTGCAGCGCCTGAGAGCACCACAGGGCATGACCTAGAGAGGATGCATGGTGAATGACTTGGTGGGAAGCCATTTCACCAACCCCAAAACCTGCTCAGCCACATCAGGGCAGCCTTATCCTAGCCCAGCACCCTCCACTAGCAACCAACCACTAGCAACCAACATGACTGGCTCAGCCATGTGAAGGGAAGGCCTTCAGAGCATTCTTCTGCAGGCCCTGTTGGCAGGGGAAGGGGACAAGTTGGTGCTCCTTAGAGAGATGGCAGATGCAAGAGACACAGGAAAGCTGTGAGACAGGATGAGAGGGGGGAATCAGATCCATCCTACACCATTATCTAATCCTATCAGGGCTTGGGATGGAGTGGGCAGAGGGCAACATTCAAGGATGCCAGTTTTGAAACTTATGATCCCTGATCTTGGTACTGTGTTGTGAGTTTTACAGTATATCGGTGGTAATCCCAGCCCCTGGAGTCACAGATATTGAGGTTTAGCGCTTTTGGTTTTCCTTTAGCTTGTTTTCATCTTTGTTTTTTTTTCAGTGCACAACAGTTGAAACAGTGAAGCGTTACTGCAGGAGTCAAATTAAATGACACAGGTTAAAGTATTACTCTTTAAACCATGGTGTGTCAAGGCTGGATTTTTTTGCAGGGTGGGTTGACTCTTCCAACAGGTCAGTGGATGATCAGCAATGATCAGTCTGTCTTCAGGATGGATTTATAAGAGACATTAGGTAGAGCTCCTGCTGTAGCAGGTTCATCTAGTAAGTAGTGCAGAGACTGCAGAGATCCGGGTTGCGTCTATGGCTTGGCCATGCATGACCTTTGTGGTCTTCTGTGAATTATTTAAACTGTCTATCTCAGCTCCAAAAAGAGTTCTCAGACCATGGAGGTGGTTGTTTCAGCTGGCAGATGACGTAATATTTTGTTACCTGGAGGATATTTCCTGATTCAGCATTGTGGTTTCCACCAAGCTGGGACCTCCCTTGTGCTAGGAGATGAGTGAGACCTGGAACTGCCTTCAGAGCTTTTTTATATCCTCATAGGTAAATCCAGGTCTCATCACTCCTGAGGACAGGCTAGAAAGCACGAGCTGCCCTCCCAAGGGCTGCCCTATGCAACCTTTTGGAGAACCTCAACTTTTTGCTCCTGGGGCTTTCCCCCAAGGACCTGAACACCCCATCTAAAAAATCACCTTCCCTGAAGGCTCCCCATTGTGACACTGGGTAAGATTTGTGGCACCTATGTCTGCAAGCAAGCACACCAGCGTGCATGCATGCATGCATGTGTATGTCTTGGCAGTTCTGACTCAACAGCCTTTCAAAAAGAGGCCCTGTGGTTAATCAGAGGAATTAACCACAGCCTCCAAAAACGTCCTGCCAGCCAATCAGCAGGCTCTTCCCAAGGCCATTGCTGCTACAACAGTGTCGTTGTCTGATAGGAACATGGATCTTTCTGGTTAAATTACTGAATGGGGCTCAGGGATGCTTTTGTTCAGCTGGGCATAGAAACGCCTCACAACTGCCGAATTACCAAGACTCCTGAACTTGGAGCAGGATTTTTATTTTATTTTTTTAAAAATTTTCAGCATGAAGGCAAATGTTTTCCAGTTCAAAGAGGATTCCAGTTTGACAGTGGTAAAAGCGCACTGAACTTTGAAGGGAAGGACCTCTTTTTTTTCCCCCTAAAGCTCTTGAATCTGCTCATATTGGCTTTTTAGTGCCTGTTGCCTCCACAGATATATAGATATAGATAGATAGATAGATAGATAGATAGATAGATAGATAGATAGATAGATAGAGATAGAGATATTTATACACACACACTCTAGATTAATATTGGCAAGCGCACCACTCTACCAATGGAAACCGCAAAGAAACATTCACATATCTGGGGATTCTGATGTAATAGGGCTGAGGTTTTGCATTCCAGGACATTTCTAGCATCAAATCAAAATCAGAGCTGTCATTCAGAGCCCAGCGTTACTAATGTTATTGCAACCCAGCGGGTGGGGTGAGGGAAAGGCGGGAGGCAGGGGAGGAGGGAGTGAGGAGAAAGATGCTGAATTGGTTGGTTTCTTCGGGGTTTATTTCTAATTTCAGACGATGAAAGGCAGTACAAGCTAGGATGGTGGTAGGCATTTTAACCCTTTTCAGGCAGATATTCTGTAATCCCTGAGTTAAACTGCATGGCCCAGCACAGCATGAAGAAAAACTTCTCAATATTTAATGGAAAGCTCAGGGGTTTTAAGCCCAACTCTGAAATATAAAGGGCCAGGAGAACTAAAACCTACTACAGGATTAATTAGTATGAGCTCTCCTATGACAGGAACTTTTCCAATGGGACTTTGGCAAGCTAAAGTTGTGTCTGGATTGGATAACCAGAGTCATAGGCTGCTTTTGATTTTAAAAAAGAAAAACAAATGCAGGTGATTTCTTCTCATATCCTGCAGCCAAAGTATATCCTCCCCCTGTTTTCTGTGGTTGACACCACTAGCCTGGACATCAGTCATTCAGCAATGGTATGGCACAGCCCTGTGGCTAAATTTTACAGTTCCAGCAAAAATCCCAGGTCAGTGGGCAGTTTTTTTCAAGCAAAAGTTGCCAAGTGATCTCTGGATTTGGCTGAGAGTTTGTAAAGCGCTTTGGGTTCCTTTGGGATGAAAACAGTTGCAAAAATCCCAGGCATGGGATTAACCCAACTTCATCACTAGTCCTTGGTAATAATCCCAGCTCCACCCAGTCATTAGGAAAGATGAATATTGCTTCCAAGATGCTCTTATGTCAAAAAGGTGACAAGAATTGATTGATTGTCAAAGGTTTCCCAGACCCAGAGCTGTACAACCCCAGCAGGTATGATAGCCCGAATCTCTGTGCTGCTACCATGGTTGTGTTACAATGCAGTAGGACGCGTTCTAATGTGACGCTATTTTTTCCATCATTTCTACTGCAGGAGGTCTTTGATCGCCTCTATTTGATTTATACTGTTGGATACTCCATCTCTCTGGGATCCCTCACAGTTGCTGTCCTTATCCTGGGATACTTCAGGTAGGCGGCTCTGTTTCTACCTAAGCGAGTTGTCACTAGACTTGGAAAAGCCTTGGGCTTTCCTAAAGAATAAAACTGGGGTTTCATGTGCTTCTTCAGCAAACCACAAGAGGTTACATCTGTGCTTTGGGCTGTGTTAGTGTCACTTAGGCCAAGCTTCTTGGGGGATGGTGGGTGGGCTGTCTGAACTTCTCCCACTTGCCTGCAATGGAGTTTTCTAGACCCTCTTTGTAGCAAACAGGAAGAGAGGCGTCTCCAGGAAGAGGTTTGTCTCCATTGAATGACTATCTAGGTTTTTCTGTCCCTATTATTCCTTCATATGACTGGCTTAGATTTAGATGGCTGATTTTTATATAGCTAAGATTTCAGAAGGGAAATTCCACTCTAAATGCAAATATTCATGAAGAATAGACCAGTTGAAGGGGACCCTAGACATATAAAAGTACTGGACTGCCTTCCCCGATCCCCCTGTGCTGCTGCCGTACCTAGGGGTCCAAAAACACTGCTCACCCTCCTAACTCTGATTGTCTGCACATTCCACTACCCCTGCCAAGGGATGTAGACCCCTAAATACCATTTTGAACCTGCGTCATCCATTCCTCAGACCTGGTTGTTGCATCTTCTTGCTGCCACAGAGACCGTGGGATAGGAGGGTTGAAAGGTGTTGGTCACAGCTAGAAGTTTGGGAAACCAACCTGGTGAGCTGCAAATAGAGCAGGGTGCTGAGCCCCAGTCCCCTGAGCTCCAGATTTGTTTCCCTTCACTGGCTGGCATACCAGGCCTCTCCTAGCAGACCACAGGATCCAGACAACAGCTATGGACAGAAATTCTCTGTGCAGCAAACAGTCACATGTTGTCTGCAGATGGGCTCAGCAACTCCCACCGTGCAAGCTCAAGCTAAGCCCCAGACACATACCATTGGGAATAAAATGTGTGGCCTTTGAATCTAAAAGTGCTCAACCCTCTCTGCAGTGAGCAAAAGGAGGTCAGGGGGTTTGATTGGATAGCAGAGCATCCCAGAGCCCAAATCTGTGACACACACAGGTGCCAAAGGGGACTGCAGACCCCTCCTGGAGACACTTCACATGATGTAGTCCCCGTACCCATCCCTGCCACCACCCTCCTGTCCTCCCAACCCTTTCCCTCCTGTTTCGTTTCTCATGGACACTGGCAAGGTTGTTAAAATATTTAATGTCCATGTATTCAAGAGTACTCCTAGTTTCAGAAGGCAGGCTCTCTATTCATGTAGTCAGAGCATTTTCCTTAGCAGTCCAGACTAAGTGGGTGACTGTGATAGAGTGTCTTTGTCCCAAGGAGCAAAGCAGCAGCAGGAGCCAAGACAGATTTTATTCCAGATAACACAGAACCCAGAGATTCGCTGACTATAGTTCAAATGCAGGGAACAAAGCCCATCTTCATTTATACCTCAGCAGTTCCACATGGCGTAATTTGTATTATAATAGCCCAGGAAACAACTGTTACTGCTATCACAATCTCCTCCAAAAGAGGAAAAACCACAGCTTTTGTTTTTTATATCCATTATTGGAGCTGGGGATTTAAGAGGGTATAAATCCATTATTACGTTAATGCATGGCTAGCCAAGCAACAGAGCTGTAGAGGACAGAAGGGGATCACAACAGGTCAGCTAGTCCCTTCTTCTCCCCAGAGGCATGATTACCATTTCTAAAACATACCTTGTAGATACGGGTCTAACCCATTCCCTTCTTACTCTCCAGCTTTTCCCCCAAAAGGATCTTAAAGCGCTTTACAATTGACATTTGTGGAGTCATTGCTGCCACGGCTGGGTTGGAGCCCATAAACTGCTCAACATGACCAAGCAACGGACAGTATCTGTAGTAGTAAACAGAGAAAACAGCCCAGCACACTGTAGTTGCCACTGAATTTGGATTGAGCAGAAAGATTAGCGGTTTACACGAACCTCTGCAAGGCTTTTAGTGGCCATGAGTTCTGTAGCCTTCGTAGTTCGTTTCCTCTGCACAAAGTGCAGATAAAAATGAAGTTTCTTAAACGCGGGGTTGTACTCTGAGAAGGGCAGGTTTTGTGGGAGGGATTGATTTAACAGTGGAAGAGACACACACGGGATACGCACTTTAGTGTCGGTGAGGATGGTGCATGTTCTTTGCCTTCTGCCTGTGCATCTTGGAAAAACGACCGCATGTCTGCTGCGCACTCATTGCACGTGCACTGAACACCGGGGACGTGCTCATCGTGCACACAGGGCTACACACGCCCTGCACAGCTGTTGCTGGCTCAGTGCACGTTGGCGGTGCCCCCACTGCATTCATCCTGATGTTCACCAGATGTTCAGACGCTGCACGTGTGCCTCACGCTGAATGCACCTCTCCCTTCCTCCAGATGCCTGACCACAGCGTAGCATCCTGCCTGTGCAAACTCATCGCACTTGTGCTGCACATGCACCATACGCACACTGCGCTCCAGATGCGCACGCACTGAGCACAGGCTGCACATCGCATGCCCTCCTGCAGCTGCATGTGCACTGCACACACACCCCCCCCATCCTCCAGATGCAGACCCACTGCCCACTGCGTGCATGCTCACTGCCCATGCCCAATACAGGGGAAATGCATCCGTGTTTCTTTGGAAGATTTCCCAGTCAGATGTAAATGAGTATAGGCAGAACGTCGTTCTAGTGCAAAATTAGCAGCAGTGCACTGCCACCAAATTCCTGGAGTGGGGGTTATAATTCATTTACCAACCCCGTGGGTGAACTGTGAGCACGTGGCACTAGCGCTGCTTCCCCATGGCACAGCACTGATGAGTGGAGCTGAGGCTTTTCAGAAGCAGAGGTGACCCTGAGCCTGTCCAACAGATGGGCTAAACTACTCCAATCCTTCTCTGTCTCTTCCAGACGTTTGCACTGCACTAGAAACTACATCCACATGCACCTATTTGTCTCCTTCATGCTGAGAGCTGTGAGCATCTTCGTGAAAGATGCAGTCTTGTACTCCGGGTCAGCTTTGGAGGAGATGGAACGGATCTCAGAGGAAGACTTGAAATCCATTACTGAAGCACCTCCAGCAGATAAATCACAGTTTGTGAGTATCACCGGAACAGCTGATCCTCCAGGTTTTGTGCCTACACCTCACCTCTTTTGAGGGGATTTTACCCCCTACTGAAGGCCACCAGCTCCCCTCCTTTCATCACCCTCCACAACCTCTCCCCATCTCTTCCCACTCCCTCTCAACGCACTGAGCCAGTGGGTCTTTCCAGTCCCAGAGCTAAGGAAGAGCTGTTCCACATGGCAGTCATGGTGAATCACAGAATCATCTGGGTTGGAAAAGCCCTTGAAGCTCCTCCAGCCCAACCATGAACCTCCCCCTGACCGTTCCCAACTCCACCAGATCCCTCAGCGCTGGGTCAGCCCGACTCTTCAACCCCTCCAGGGATCCCGGGGATTCCCCCCCTGCCCTGGGCAGCCCATTCCAACGCCCAACAGCCCCTTCTGCACAGAAATCCTTCCTCAGAGCCAGCCTGACCCTGCCCTGGGCAGCTTGAGGCCATTCCCTCTGGGCCTGGCGCTGGGTCCTTGGCTCAAGAGACTCATCCCCCCTCTCTGCACCCTCCTGTCAGGGAGTCGCAGAGGGCCAGGAGGTCTCCCCTCAGCCTCCTCTTCTCCAGACTAAACAACCCCACTCCCCTTAAAGTCAAGGTTGGTGTTTTGGTTCCCATCTACAACTACTATTTTCAACATTTCCTGTGGGCCCCCTGAAGTGTATGGCTCTGGAAACTCTCCTGGCTTTCCCACTGCAAGGCACTTCAGTCCTTGCATTTCACAGCACGTACTTATCCCACCACAACGTGCAGCTGGCTGATTTTCCACTTGGAGCTCCTCTCTGACTCACTGAGGTATCACTGTGCTGTAACAATGGTGCCATCAAACTGACAGCCCAGATGTAGCAAAGCCACTGTTCAGCATGTCCTGGGAGGTTTTCAGCCATGTCTCCAGAGCCAGAGCAAAGGTATCTTGGGAGGAAGAAGCTCAGCAGCAGACATCTCACCCCACTGTAGTTTTTCAGCAAACCATAGCTTGTTGTTCCTGTTGTGATTTATAACTCCCATCTTTGGGGGGAAAAAAAGAAAAAATAAGACATTTTAGGAGGGATAATGGAGGGATTATGCACTGTTATAAGAAAGAGAAGTTTCATCTGGAAAGAGCAGATGTCTACAAGGGAGACACCTTCATTCAATCTAGTCAGCTCAGGTTCAATTTATGCTCAGCTGAATTAATATGGTCAACACAGCCAGTCAAGGGTATAATGAAGCCTAAAATAAACATCCTAAAATAAAAATTGAAGTGAGGTCAGTTGAATTCATCCCCAAAACTATGTTTCTTTTCACTCTATAGAAAGGTCAGATGGCAGCATCCACATTGTCCATGTGCTGGGGGGGATGAAGCCCATCCCCATGTTTCAAAGTCGTCTCCACCTGCTGAAGCTGTCTGCTCTCCTTGTCTGTGGTCTCATCACAGATTTCCCATGGTAGATCCTAAGTACGATAGCTCATCATCCATGAATTGATGGATGCTGCAGAGACAGAGAAGGTAGCTTTTAGTATCTAAGATCAAGAGTTACCTTCAATCCACACAAAAACAATCTGAGCTAGCTCATACATCCTAGTGGAGCGTCTCTCGCAATGTGGCAATAAACTTTCTGCCTGTGTATTCATTCAGCTTCTCAAGTCTTTAGCAGCTTGTGCTGCTACCAGAGACCTGGCCACCAACACCCCCACATAAAATCAGCAAATATGGAGTGTCCCGCTGTGCATCCAAGTACCCCCAAACGGAAATTTGTTATTGTGTATCCTTCCCATTTCAGAGATCCATTTCGCTAATTTGGCAAGTCTCTGGCTGGAGCACTCAGCACGCTTCAAAACACACCCTTTTTGGAAAGAACAGAAAACATTTTACTGCATTGTTTTCTGTTTCTCCTTGGGCTGGACCCATTATGAGCAATAATTAGGATAATGTATTACATTCTTTGAATATTAGCAATTAAACGGCACTTCTTATTCTTCTGAATTGAAAGGCAAACTAGTGATGAAAGCAACAATTAATGTTTCTTTGTTTCCAAGTGAAGTGAAAGCTTTGTGACTATTGCCTGATGCTCCCTGTGTGTGTAGATGGTGACTTCTTGTAAATATAAAAATTATTATTAGACTTGGACAGGGATTTTTTTAATTGATCTTCCTTCTATTTTAACTCACTTTGTAGAAGAAAACAGGTGTAAATGTGTCCATATTTTATATACACATTTATAGATGCAGATATGTATACAATATATGCATATTCATTTTGATTGGAAAACGATTAGCCCAAGAGCTATGCCAGAATGAAAACTCTTTTTATTCACAAGGTGGATGTTAAAGACATTTTCTGCAAGTTGACTGTGTGCCTCTCAAAGGAAGGGGCAGCGTGGAGATCTGCTGCTGCCATGGGGTGTGTTTCGTAGTCATAGACTTTCTGTGACATCAAACCACCCAGAGTCCTAGCATTTTCACATCGACAAGAGATGGCTTTATGTGTCACTTTGTACCAATAAACTCAATGCGGAGTCATTACTTTGCAATCTTTCTCTACTAGGGTTGAGAAATGGTGGAAAAAGGGCAGCTTTGCCCCACTCTGCCAGAAGGGCAGGGGAGCGTTGAGTCGCAGTCAGGGTTTTCCACTCAAGAAATCAAAGGATTGCAGATCAGCGTGGAGTGAGAGGTCAGTTTATGAGCCCTTTTAAGATCAGTGTGTCCTAGAAGTCTCGACCAGGTCTCCCACCTTGCAGCTCAGGTCTGTTCAGAAAACACTTTGACAGTGTGAGTGAACTCCTCCAGCTTCTGTTTGCTCTTAGAGGATGAGTCACCAATGCCTAGAGCAGATATCTAGGGTGTCTTCACACTCGTTGAGGAAAGACAGGCAGCTGTGGAGGACCCTGTCTTGGCCATCCATGACAAGATGGGGTGAGTCACCCTCAGCATGGTGCTTGTATTTCTCCATGACCTGAGGATGGAGTCATATTTCCAAGTGACATGACTTGCACCAGGTCACCCAGACCAAGGTGACTTGGCCACAGCCCTTTGTGGACAATGAAAAGATGAAACACATCTGGCCTAGAAAGTGTGTCAGTCCCTCATCACTAGGTTTGGGAGAGAGAGGGATCAGGTCAGCATCTCTCCATACATCCCCTGTCCTCCTACACCTCCCAACTCACTTGCTATTAGAGCCACAATGTCAGACTGGGAGAAGTTTTCTTCTCAATCATTCATCTCTTCTATTCTTGAACTGATTTTTTCCCCCTTGTAAAAGCTCTGCAACAGAATTTTTTTTTCTTCCTTTCTCCATCTTGTTTTCCAGCCCATCTTGGTAAGTTATGGCTTTATGCAGAACAAGAATTTCACACCATGTTCCTCACATAACCCTGTCTTTCTGTGATCATTGCAGGTGGGCTGTAAAGTAGCCGTTACCTTCTTCCTCTACTTCCTGGCAACCAATTACTACTGGATTCTGGTGGAAGGGCTCTATCTCCACAGCCTCATCTTCATGGCATTTTTCTCAGAGAAGAAGTATCTTTGGGGATTCACATTATTTGGCTGGGGTAAGTCACAGCTGGCCCTTACAGCTGACCTGTAAGAAGCCTGTTGGAGGTAGTTTGGAGCAGATAGTGTATATACATAAATACAGGAGAGGGGACAGAGGCTGGGTGAGCATCACAACACAATGACTCTTGCAAGGACAAGTCAGCTCTCTTGTGAAGCGTTTATCATTTCTAAATTGTGGTATTTACCCTGTGATACTTCCAGAATCTCTGGAAGGATCAGCCCAGGCTTGGAAAATCAGCACACCTTGTCGTCCTTCTGGGGATGCAGACCTGTGCATGTGACAGCTGATTTTAGTGCACTTCGAGTTAGCACCATCTCTGCCAAGTGTCTCCTGCTGAGATGTTGGTCTGGAGGGACAGAAAGTTGCATGCGGCTGTGAGCATCTGCTCTCAACGTCAGACTTAAGCTCTGATTTCCAACCTCAGATCTCAGTTGCTTTAAAAAGCTCTTGAGGTTTCATGAGTGTTGGGGCACTAGTAGAAACCTGCAATTTGTGGGGAAGGCTTTTTTTTTTCCTTTTCTTTTAATTTGGGCATCTTTTCCTGGAGTAAGGAGAAAAGGGAGGGTTACGGGTGCAGGGAGGGTGCTCATTAGTGGAAGGCATTGTGGGCAATGAGAGAATGTGCTTTCTGTTCCCTTCTGGCATTAGCTTTGGCTTGCAAGGAGTTATGAGGTGCTGATAGGCTGAGGACAATCAAACAACTGCCCACAGTTGCCTGAAGTGTGTGGACTGTAAGGGAGAGCAGGAAACAGATAATCCTCAAGGACATAACTAAGAATAATGGGGTGTAGGTCTACAGAGGAGCTTACAGCAGCAAAAACCTGTTCAGAGGTGTCTATGGTTACCTCTAAACTCTATGGCCCAGGGCCACTTCCCAGTTTTTAGGTCCAAAATGCACCTGGCCACATCCTGACTGCATTTTAGGACAAGATTAATGTATTCACCACACCTTCCCATTCCAGAACATGATTTCTTCTGGAAGAAAATTGGTGTCTCCAACAGTGGAGCTCTGAGTAAACCAATAAGTCTATGGAGGATTACAGGTTTTTGTTGTGTGAGAGCAAGTGGTTCAGTAACCCAGGGCAGTCCAGCTTGCAGCACTCTCTCCAGCCTTCCTTCTTCCCAAATGTGATGTAAAAGGTACCACAAGCTCCTTGATAACCTCAAGTGCAGAATCTACTGATAAAGACAGGAGGTGTAAATATGAGTCCCAGAGCGGGCATCCATCTCTCAGGCAAAGTCTAGTCCCAGACAGCTGGTAGGTGGAGGGGGAAATAAAGACAGATATTTTGGGGACAGGTCATTTCTTACCTCACCTACTGTGAGACAGAGAGGACTTTAGATGTCACCTCTTTTTTAAAAGAAATTAAAAAAAAAAAAAAAATCAAAAACCCCACAGATCCCATCCTCTTCCAAACCTTCAAGCTAAGTAAAATTTGCTTCTCAGAAAACGGCATTAAATTGTACAGGGCAGACTTAAAGAAGCAATTCCCCACAGTCAATTTCAGAAGAGAGGGAAGAAGTTGAAAAATAATGCCATATGTTGAACAAGAAATAACAACTTGATGCTGCTCATAATGCAGGCAAAGGAAAACAGTCCAACAAGCATGGGTTCCTCTCATTAATTCTTCCAACCACTGCCAGAGTATAATCATTTTATCAGAGCAACCACAAAGCTGAAGTCACACCTGTCACAACACCAATCATCTATATGCTTCCAAAAAAGTCTGAGGCTGCCCAATTTAAATTCCTCTTGAATGAGCACACAGGATCCCTCCAGTTGTATTTGGTTTTGCTTTGTTTTGATTAGCATGATAATGTACACGCACCCACCCCCACCCCCCTCAGAGACTTACTGTTTTGATAGCTTTTGGGCATTGGAAAGGGCAACCCAGTCCAAGACCCACTAGAGTCAGTGGAAAAACTCCAGTTCCCTGCAGTGGGCACTGGATCCTGCCCATACCAGAGCAAGGACTGACAGGGAATCGGTGATAAATAATTACAACATTGCACATAGGTGCAGAAATGACAAATTTGCCCCAAAATCTAGGATATTTTTTTTCACTTGTGTAACAATAGACACATTTATTCTGACTGAAAATTTCCAAGGTGAGGGTGGGGAGCAAAAATCACCCTACAATATCTTATTTCCAGACTACTGTTTTGCCAATTATCAGGCCTAGCATAAAGGATACAGCCAGCATCAAGATGAACCAATCACCAAACTGTATTTGATACAAAAGGGTCAGTACATGGGTGAGCACTGGGGGTACAAACAAGTCAATCAGATTATACAGAATCAACATCAATCCCACTGACCCCAACAACGACACCACACGACCAACAATGGGTGGAATAAATGGTGACATGCAGTCTCACATAGAAGGCATGGGACACAACCGAGTCAACAAGCCAAACACATAAGACCAAGGAAGCCACAGCATCAATCTCTACACAGCCCACTTCACAAAAGCCAGACCTGACTGGAGCCCAGTCCCAGGGAGGCGGGAGGCCCTTCCCCAACAGGGAACTCTGCACAGGGCATCCCCCTCACAGACAGCCACTGCCCCTCCTGCGAGGGGTCCCAGCTGTTATCCCTCAGTGGGACACCTGACCTTTGTTCACTGAATGCAGACACCCGGGGCTCCTTTACCCCATGGCTCTCCCTGCCAGGCCGGCACCACCCTGGAGGGAAGCCTGAAGGGAAACTCACCCCCCTTTGGGAAGGGCTGTGGGAATCACCCAGATGTCAGCCTTAATTTGGGGCTTGGGGTTGAAACCCCAGCAGTTCAACTACTGAAGAAACCAGGACATATAGTTACTCTTTGATGTCAGACCCAAAGATTTTTGTTGAGTCTTTTCAATGCACATGCTCACTGGCACACAGGAGCACAGCTCCATGGGAGTCCGCAGCACCCTTCTTGCAAGGGAGACACAGATGACAGAAAGGATAACATTCCTTGCCAGCACCCAACAAAAATAAATAATAGTATTACAGGCAACAAGAAATTCCCCAGCAGACTTCAAGTTCCCTGCAGCTGTTTTATGAGGCAAGTCTAAGAACCATGACCAATGGCTAGAAAACCCGAGCTGATTCCACTGGCATTTTTTTGTTCACACTATGTTAGTTTGCAGCCCCTCCACCCCCAACTGGGCTGCACTGGCTCTCTGCAAATGAGGACTGAAGGGACACCTGGAAAAGACAAATTGATGTGTTACTGTTAGAGGTGCTCAGGTCCAAATAGATGTGATGGTGAACCTTGCGTGTTTATCTACACAGAAGTCATCCTTGCCTGAAAGTATTTGTACCTAACAGGACAAGAGGCAGAAGAGGGTATTTTTAGACCCATTTAATATTAGGAAACTGTGACACAGAAGGACTGAAAAAAAAATGCATTGTTCCTCAGAGAGGTTTTCAAGTAGCAGGGAACTGAGGCCAGATTTCTCCAGACCTACACAAGGACTTTATTCAAAAGCTTTCTATTAGCAGTCGCTTTGCAACTGCCTCTCTTACCCACAGCTTTGACATGTGCATGAATGCCATTTTTCCAAACTGCTATGAGCCATGGACACAAGCAAAACAATAGAGGAGAGAGGAGGGGGTTGTGGTAGCCACCAGACTTTGCCTAGCTTGAGGTTTGCACGTTTTCCAGCTGATGGGGAGATACCTGACTTTATAGCACCTGCATTGTACACACTGTGTGTATTGACTGGAAATGCACAGCGCATACAATGTGGATTCTGTAGAAGTCACTCACAGCATCGCTGCCCGGTGGGGTTCATCCTGCGTCACACCTGTCGTGCACGTGGGGCTCCTATGTGCAAGGGGGAGGACATGCATTCATCCATCCACACCTCCATCTGTCTGTGCCCACATCCAACCAAGAGACCACAGGCTTTTTGGAGACTCACTTTCCGTTCTCTGGTGGGTCGGAGAGATGCGTTTAATCGTGTATAACTTTCCCGCTCACAGAGCTGCATCCTCTTGGGTGTCTTGCTGCTTGTGGATATCATTGGATGTCTGACTTTGAGGACCGCAGCCCAGATTTTTCAGGTCGATGGTTCTCCCATCAGTGGGTGCTGTGAGTGCTCAGCAGGAGGCATTGTCAATCTTGGGGCATCACAGACCAGGACTTTCAAGTGGAGACACCAAAAAGTCAGTCATCACCCTCTGAAAGTAAAAGAGATGCTGGAGGCAAAGCTAAGCCTTCTGACTCTTCACATTGAAAGACTAACTTACCAGAGTGGGAGGAAAAGATTGAACTCTAGAAATTACCTGACAGTCCAAGTGCTCCGTGTTATGTTGACATAGATCTAAAAACGGGGGGGCAGAGGAAAGAGAGGGAGAGGATTCATACCTTTTTTTTTTTTTTTTTTGCAAATTTAAGAAGTTACAATTGTTCACACTGAAAAAAAATGAACGATGTAAAAGACGCAGAAAGACAAATGTAGCAATAAAACTGGTGCCAGGAATTCACTGTGTTGTGTGTTTTTCAGAAAATGTCAAGGATCCTTTTCCTAAGCTTGCCTGAACAGAGGCAGCAGAGAACAGAGCACAATAAATCCACACATAGGGATTTTTTAGGTATAATTATTTTCTCCTGTATGTTTTATTGTTGCCTGGAACCTTGAACACAGCACAGGATTAATGTGAATGGGAACAGTGTCTCTTCTGAAGTGCAGGACAGGCTAAAGAGGAACAAGTACGTGTCAAACACATCCAAATCTCTGACACAACCCATCTTTCAAACGTAGAGCTTCGCAACAGTGGGTGAACATCCGCTGTCTCACAGGGAGGTCGCAGGTGTGTCAGCCTCTCAACACGGCCGGTTTCCCAGTTGATATAAACTGGAATATCACCAATTATATCAGCAAAGTTACATGGATTTAAGCCTTTGATAGCTCTGCCAGCAGTCTGGAGCATGCAGATATTTTTCATAGATAAATGATTAAGGAAATAGATGGTGCTTGTTACAATAAATCATCACCTTTCCCAAGCCCTCAGCTTCAACACACCTATGGGTTCCCAGTGCAATAGGTTAAGCATTTTCTTTCCAGCGTCAGCCATCACAGGGGATTATAAAGGAGGGTGCATTCCTTATAAATGTGTCTTTGTAGGCAGCGCTGCTGCGCTGGTCCTGAGTGAGGCTCTGTGTTTAATTATTTATGCTTTCTTATATTACCATGGCATTTAAAGGTTCCAACCAAGATAACGGCCCCGTTGTCCATGTGTGTATGAGACGGGCGTCCCTGCTCCACACCCCAGCTCAGGAAAGCGTCCGTGGTCAGGAAAGCCTTTAAGCACCCTAATGAGACTTAAGTGCATGCTGAAAGTTAAGCGTGTGCTTATGCATGCCAAGCGCCAATGAGCTTAGACTGTGAACAGCATATTTACAGTCATCGGTGATAAATGTCACCTTTATTTATTTTTTATTATTTTTTTTTTCACCTGAAAGGGGCTATTCTTCTTGAATTTGTGGAAGCTACTGTGGATTTGATCCTGCCTTTTAAGGGAAGCCAGTAGGGGACTCAGTTGTACAAATAAAGCAGAACTGGACCCTAAAAAAATAAACAGAAGATTACATTTGGATATTGGTGATTCTTTTCATAGGGAAAAGATGATGCTTAGTGTAACTGTGCTGAAATAAGGATGGTTCATTTGGGAGTGAAACTTTGGCTAGAGTGTTTTCCAAGCTTTACCCTAAATTCTAGCATTTATCTGCTTCACGCAGAACGTCACTAACACTTAACAAAACTTCTAACCCAGCCAGCCCTGTGCTCGGAGGACTGGTCTGAGCCTGACTCTGGATCTACCTTTCCTTTGCACCAGGGGAAGGGAACAAACATCTTGGGAAAGGTGTGCTTGCAAAACCTTTCTCTGCTTCAAATTGAATGAGTTGGCTAGAGCAGGTATCAACCACCCAGGTTCAAAGTGACTATAGGCTTTGTATCTAGAAAGCAGTGCTAGAGGAAAGACAGGGGACCTGATGATTTATCCTGTCGAGTCCATCACCCATCTCAGGCCTAGACCATCTGGGTGTCTCCCAAAGATGGTAGCTTAAGCCTGGACTACTCCTGGCCATCAACTTGGGAAAGCAAGCTGCTGTTTTGAAAGACAGGAGAGTTCAGTAGCGTGGACATGTCCAGACCGTGACATTTCTCTTCCAGAAAATGCTCCCTGCCACTGCTTGGTTTACTATTTGGACTACAGAAGAGATGTGAGACCAAGATCAGCCTTTCCTAGTCTAAATTATGCTTGAATATTTAAAAACTGCTTCTTCCAGCATCCTCTAGCCCACTCCACCTGGGCTTATTGAACGTGGCCCCTCTAGTCCCCTTACTCACCCTGTGTGACCTGTGTTTTTTTTCAGGACTCCCTGCTGTATTTGTTACAGCATGGGCCAGCGTGAGAGCCACTCTAGCCGACACAGAGTAAGTCATATTGGATTTTCTTTGCTCCCTTTTATGTTTGATGCTTTTGTGGGCCTTTTGGCAATGGTCACTTTGTGGGTGAATCAAAAGGAAAAAAAAGGAACTAGGCAAAGCCAGGAGTGATTTCTATGAGGTTAGCAAACTTTGGGGTGGGAGTGTGGAAGGGAAGAATAAAGTGCATGCAACTTTGCCGGCTTTAACAGAATCTGATAAATGTGAACACCTGTAGCTATTGTCCCTAAGGCTAAATGGGACTGCTTCACAGCTAGGCAGGGACAGGACAGGGATGTTTAAAATCCAGAATGACTGGGAATGAAGTTGAGGGATAGCAGGGTCAGCACAGTCAAAGGCGGCGGTTTGGCATTGATGAGGTGGTGAAGCTGTAACTCCTCCCTGCAGGAGGTGTGGATGCCAGCATATCCTTGGGTTTAAAAAGCATTTGTACACATTTATAGAAGATAATTCCTCTAGAAGTATTAGATACTCAGTAACACTCTGGCTTGGGAAGGCATCCTGAACAGCAAGTTGTTGGAAGAGTATTCTAGAAAAATATTAGTACCTGTTTATGTATTCCACCTTAAATATCAGCTTCTGGCTATTGTCAGAAACAAGATATGGATTAGATGCTTCTTTGGTCCTACACATGCACCCTCAAGGCCTCATATTCCTACTGTATGCTGAATGAAGGATCCATGCCCTCGAGTCTTCAAAGCCCCAAACAATCACATTTTCCCACCATAATGCAGAGTTTGACCACACAACAGCTTTCATCTGCCCACTATCTGCCAGCAGAAGGGGTGGGGGGGCGG